AACACCTCCAAGCTGCAGTTGGTCACTGACACTACCCAGGAGTTGCCTCCTGTTCCCTGGCTACAGTGCAGGAGAAAGGGGTTAAGCTCTAAGGATGCATTGTGCCCCAGGGCCCAGGGAACCTGGCTGCAGGGGCTTCAGTGAACCCTCCCAGTGAAGTGGCTAACCAGGGAGAGGGCCTAGGAGACTGAGTAGCCCCACACTGCCTGGATACAGAACCCGAGGAGTGGATGCTAAAAGCCCCTGTCTGAGGAGTTGCAGGGTCAAGTGCAAACAGGCTGGAAATAGCTTCCGCCCTGCCACTACAGAGCTTATTGGGAAGAGGGGAGGGCAGTTTCTGCATGTCAGAAATGCGTAGGCCTTTGGCGCATGTGGGGCTTGGCTTTCCCTAGGTGCCAGCCCAGCCAGAGGCAGTGGGAAGAAGCTTGTTAGTCAGCACTTGGTGAGCTGAATAATCTGACCAGGGGCTGGTTCTCTGCAAAGCACTGGGAGTGGAATGAACCCAGCCAGCAGGGAGGGAGGAGGGATATAGAGGAGAAGCAGGCTGGAGTGTGTGTGAAGGGACACAGCACAGAGAGGACCCTGAGAGGGGTGGCATGTAAAGGGCAAATGGGTAGGCACTAAGAGTAACATCTAACCTTTAATACGTGTAACTGATGCAACAAAACTTCCACTGGGTGGCAATGCAGGACCCAAATATTATTAGCAACAACACGTCACAGAAAGTGGTTATTGTGACTAGGGATGTTTAAAATTCAAGTAATTGGTGTAAGCATTTGGGTAACTGATAAACTCATGCTTATCAGTTACCTGTTTAAATGGCTACACTATTACATCCCGAATTGTGATGGGAGATGGAGGAAATGCTGAACCAGTTCAGCTCCAAGAGGGCCCAGCTATAAGGGTTCAACACCCAGGAAACTATACCCCCACAAGGGACCAAAACCCCAAACAAATCCAACTTACGCAGAGAACGCTCATAAGGTTAGCACGCTTTATCAATGAAAGAGAGAAATGCACACTGGTTGCTTCCCCCCAGTAACAATTATTTACACTGGGCCTGATAATAAACAAAAGTGCTTTTATTAAGTACAAAAAAGGAGGATTTAAGTGGTTGCAAGTGAAAACAGTCAGATCCAACTAAAAAAAAGTTACTGAACAGAAAACACTTAGCTAATTCTAAGAAGAAACTTGGTACATTCAAATTCTTACCCTAAACAACTGTTCTTATTTCAGATAAAAGTTGATTTTTTACTGACTTGGATCTACAGCTTGTACATTCAAATTCTTACCCTAAAGAACTGTTTAGTTGATTTTTTACTGACTTGGATCTACAGCTTCTTCAAAGTTCTTTTGTATCCTCTAGGGTGTTTCAGGCAGTTCCCAAAGCCAGCTGAAGATGAGCTGATTGCTTCCCTTTGCTTAGACAGAACTTCCCCCAGGACAGGAACCCTTTGTTTTGCATCTCCCATCTCCATGGAAAATTATCAGATCCAGGATGGATTCCAGTACCAACAGGCACAGTCACATGTGTTTCTAGGACCAACCACAGTTTGGGCTCACAGGACAAACAATGCTATTCACGTGTTGTTGAGTTGATCACAGAGCCATTAAGTTTCTAGAGCCTAAGTGATGGACCTCATTGGCACATTTAGAATTATAAACAAATCCACACTTCATATTTCTAACTTCACACACAAGAGTAGGATATACAGATCCAGCAGATTATAACTATAAGACTGATATATTACATGACCTGGCTGCATATAGCATCTTCAAATTATATATATTCATAAGCCAATAATCATAAGTGATGGGAGCATCAAAATCTTGACAAACTTAAAACTATAGCTTTGATCACAGCATTAATCAATATTTCTTTGCAGAAAAGAGAGGCAGGATTTGTGTCACATATTGTAAATCACTGCATACTAAATTCTTGAATGATAGAAAGGAAAACATTTAATGAACCCATGGAACAAAACTTCAGTGGACTTCAATCGGACAGAAACTCAAAGCGAATCTGTTCATTTGCTTCAGTACGCTTTGGATCAGCAAAATTAAAACCACCATTTTTGGTTGTGTGTGTACACACTGGCAAAAATGGGACCTGTAGTTCATATCTGGTATCACTCCACTGCAGTAGAAGCTATGGTGTAAACAGGGCTCGCCTGTTACAATTAAAATATCACACAACCTTGTCATCAGCAGTAGAGCTGTACTAGTGGAGAAGTATGGATCCCAACATACACAAGTCCTCTCAGGCCACCTTTTCTAGGGTTCAGCTGTATAACTTTATTGATTTCAGTAGTTACCCATGTTATTTAACACAAAATTCAATCAACCAGTGTTCCCTCTTATTTTTTTCCATCCATGTGTGGAATAACTTTTATGTGCACTGAGGCATGTGCAAATGTGCACCACAAGTACAAACACATGCTGCTGGCTATGGGATACTCTGCTAATCAGCTGGGCAGCATTTGAATTTCTCCTGGATGGCCACCCAAGCGCTCATCAGCTTACAGGGAACACTGAAGCCAACACCTATAAAATAGACAATAAATTTGAAGCCCCTACATTTAAAGCAAAAATGTCAAACCAACAAAGTTAATACAAAGGCAAGAAAAATAAATGCATACAGAAATGTGGATCGAGGTTTTCAAACCTGCAGTATATAAACTTACACACTTCAGCAAAATAATTGGCCAGGTTTCTGTAAGTCTGGAACAACACCCAGCTGTTCCCACTGAGGTTTTACTACTAGATTTTTCACTCCAGAATATTCAAAGCAAATGAATATGCAGATCTCTTCTGAAAATCTTCATTATAATTAAAGTGAGAGGGGGAACATCAGATTTTAAGTGGATACTTCAGAAACACTAAATGTGCCATAGTGAAAGCTTACAAAGGGTATAGAACTGAGGGAGGGATAGGGAACCACTATTAACTGGTGTGATTAAATGGTTGGCAATCCTAATATGGTCTATTTATTAGTGGTTCGATGGATCCTATTAGAATTGCCAACCACCTATAGTCACACAAACCCAAATACCTTTGTCCCACCCCCGCCCCAAACCTTCCCAGAGACCATGCCCACACTCCTCCCTTCCATTGATTGCTCTTCCTCACAGTCAGTTTCACCAGGATAGGGAAGGAGTTTGGGGCACATGAGTAGGTGTGGGCTCCGGGTCCCAAGTGTGAGAGGGTGCTCTGGGCTGAGTCTGGAGTAAGGGGAGGGGTTCTAGAGGAGGTGTGGGGTGCAGGTTTGGGAGGGAGTTTGGGTGTAGGTATGGATATTTTCCAAAATAGTGCACTCTGTTCACTATTTCTTATGTGAAATATCTTCAAAAAGCAGTAACAATGCAGAATAGGCTGCAGAGGAAATATTAATCTGAGGCAGATCTGGAGTACAAGATATCCCAAAGCATGAAAAAAAAACCTTACATACAGAAACAGCTACCTATGCCTGCCACATATGGGGTAGATCCTCTTCTGCTTCATTATTTTCAGAACTACTGTTCAATAAACACATTCTTAATAAACAAATTGCATAAAATCCTGAAGCACAATATAGAACATACCTCTCAACCTATTGTACCAAGGAGAACATTATTGGTCCAGGAAACTGTTAATAAGATTGATATTCTTTAGTCCTTCACAATTTTGTACAAAAACTAAGAAGATTTACACAGAAATTTGTGTGGGATAATGGTAAAAATTTGAGGGGTGGGGAGGAAGAGAGTGACAGAGTTCTAATTTTGTTTTTTTTAAGAAGCAGGCAAGGTTCCTTTAATTACAAAGCTTGTAAATAATTATTTAAATGCTAAGACTAGATTTCACTTGGTCAGTTAGGCCTGGTCTACACTACACTGGAAGGTCAAAGTAAGATATGCAACTCCAGCTATGTAAACTGTAGCTGGAATAAATGTATTTTACATAGTGTTTCCCCACTTTCCACACAGCAAGTGCAAATGCTCCCATTGGCTTCCCTTCCTCCTCCAAAGGAGCAGGAGTACTGGCACCAGTGGGGGTGCCCTTTGAGTTTAATCTAGCAGGTCTCACTAAATTGAACCCCGGAAAATCTACTGCAGCAGCGTCCATCTTCCGTGTAGTACAGACTTGCCCTTTGGGACATGAAGACCTGTGATCCCAGACTGCTGATATTTTTAAGCCCTTAAAACAGATGCAGTTATATCAGCAACACTGTACTTTTATCAGCACACTTTGGGTGTGTCTAAACTTCATGGCTCCATCGATGGAGCCATGTAGATTAGGCTGATCTGCAAAGGGAAATGAAGCCGCGATTTAAATAATCACGGCTTCATTTACATTTAAATGGCTGCTACGCTGAGCCGACAAACAGCTGATCAGCTGTTTGTTGGCTCAGCGCGCTAGTCTGGACGCTCCCTCGCCGACCTGAAAGCCCTTTATCGACCTCCCTGTTATGCCTCGTAGGATGAGGTTTACCGGGGAGGTCGATAAAGGGCTTTCATGTTGGCAGGGGAGCATCCAGACTAGCGCACTGAGCCAACAAACAGCTGATCAGCTGTTTGTCGGCTCAGCACGGCAGCCATTTAAATTTAAATGAAGCCGCGATTATTTAAAATCGCAGCTTCATTTCCCTTTCCCAATCAGCCTAATCTACATGGCTCCATCAATGGAGTCATGTAGTTTAGACACACCCTCAGTTTTGCTCATGGCGAGAGGGTGTGTGTGAAATAAATTATAAAAACTGTACAGCTGAGGCTTTGCCAGTCCACATTTTCAACTCAAAGAAACTCTTTGTCTGTACAGTACACCAGTTTCTTATACTAAAAAGTAGTCCTAATGTAGACATGTCCCAATAAAAAAAGATGGCAACATTACATAGAGTTAAATAGAGTGGGTTCATCTAAGTAGACAAATAGGAACCATGAATTCAGCAGTTCTAATTCCATCCCCAATACAGACTCCTTCACATGTAAAAATTGGAACAGAATTACTTGTATAGTTCAGACAGATATTTGTGAGCAGCTTTTATTAATCAAATCACTAAAGCTCTATTTGGCAGTTCACATAAATAACAGTTTACCAGCCTCAGAGTTCACCATCCGAGTAGGCAAAATGCTAACAAACATAGATGAGAATAACATACAAAGCATGCAAATGGGTAGTTATGACGGGTACAGAGCCACCTCATTTATACATACGCACGATAACAGCAGCAGCCAGTCAACAATTAACATGTTTCACAAATGACTATTTTAAAAGAATTAATCTTTGTAACATGACTTTTCCCAAAAGTATACATATCCTGCTTTTCATTAACACCCCTGAGCACTAGCTGACCAAGAGATTTATTTCTAGTAGGGAGAAATCAAATGCCAACGTCAAGAGCCCCTTCTGGAGAATGCTCTGGCAGCCACTCCTCCCTTTTCAAATAAAAGGGAATAAGTTCCTTCTACCAAAAAATCTACCAAATTTCTGTCAAATAGCATGTACCTGTAAAATAAATTTGCAGCAGGAGGACATCCCTACACCCTGCTATCAGGAGCTTTGTTTCCTTGTTCCCTCAAGTTGCTCCCCTCAAACAAAGCGGTGAGAAGGAAAGGGATTGGATTACCACCACTGCCCAATACAAGCCTCGACCATGCTCCCTCTCAGAAATTTAACCTCTGGCCAAAAGAATTCCTATAATTTCAAATCTGATGTGTTACTAATGCTTAATGAAGGGAATTCCCCATTTGCACTAAGAGTCAGTCTAACTTGTCTTGACTCTTAGCAAGTCAGCAGTAATTGTAAATTTCTGAACAAACAATCGAATTTTTTGTATGTTAATTGTTTGGAGCATGTAAAAATCAGATGAATAGGCTATGTATGTAAATGTTATTCCATTTGCAAGTTATCTTTTATTCAGTTTTCTAATACTTTCTGCTTGATTATGCCATAGGCTCAAAGCTTTCCTGCAAGTTCCAGTACCTTTGCATCTAAACTCATTAAGCTGCAGTACAAAAGGTTAAATACTCTTCGGGCTGGTATATATCAATTTATATAGCAACTCAGAACTATACAGATGTCAACAACTTTTAAATAAAGGTGACATTTGTTAACTTTATTTCAAACATTTTTCCTTTAGGGTAAAGCAATAATTTTGCCCATAATATATAGTTTAAAAGACAGCATAAACTGACTTATTTAATTCATATCCAACATTTTTTAATTATTTGTCATTCCAATCTGCATATTTGGGATATGAATATCTGGGGAATTATCCGATAAAGCATTCTTAAAGGAAATATAGCAATTGAGTCAGTCAGGATTAGATGGATAAATCAGATCAAGATGAAAAACGAAGCAAATATAAATTCACCATTCATCTTAGAGGTTTAATTATTTCATTAATTTATGATTCAAAGCTTTAGCCAAGATATTTACATAGTGTATGTTGGTCTAAATTGGGATTTTAGGGCTGCTGCGAACTATATGAGTTAACCTGACACACATGCTTTAACAAAAAGAATGTGTGGAGTGAAATTCTGATGCCATGGAAATCAGGATTTTGCCATTGACTACAATGGGACCAACTTTTCAATCGTTGTCTTTTTAAAAAAAAAATAGTCAATATCCATGTTAAAGACAAGACCTGTCTAAAAAAAATATTTTAATGGCACTTTAGTCAATATCCATGTTAAAGACAAGACCTGTCATAGTGGGTAATTAAAAAAGGGCAAATGTTAAGTTCCAATAACCTTGAAAATGTCTCTTAAAAATACATTTATAAGTTTTTAACAATGAAACTATAATCAACTAGCATAGGGAAAGGGGCATTCTACTTTTTTGCTAAACAATTCTTCCTGGAAAATGCTATTTTACAGGTAATTTCCACCAAATATATCTTCCTTTAGTTTCCAGGAACCTGATCCATCTACAGTATTTACATGATGGAACAAGACAGCTGGATAGATCTCTACAATTTAGAACACACCCAATGATTGTGTTTTAGACAACGTTTAGTTGCTAACATATTAAATCTTTGAGGCTCCCACCTTGCATTAATGTAAATACTTGTCAATGTTCCCATGATGATTAGATGCCTTCTTTTGCTTGGAGTCTAGTCACTGAAGTAATTAAAGGAGAAGGTTACTGCAAAGACTGCAACTGCGGCAGCTATTACCACACCTAAAATGATAAAGGAAATACAACTTCTGTGAGTGAAGAAGAGTGTACAATCACCGCAAGCCAGGGTGTGTAGAAAAGGAAAAGTGGGAACAATAAAAGTATTTTTTAACATTGCTGAGTAGCACTAAAATGCCTAAAGATCAGATTATATTGTTAGTCATATAAATTCATTCTATAAGACAAAAAGTGCAAAATCCTACAGAAATTCAGTTAATCATCTAAATTCTGCTCTTTTGGTCCTAGACATCAAAAATTTAATGCATCAACTCTACGTTATGGCTTAAGGACAGTAAACAGACCTACAGATTAAAGGTTTTGGATAAAGGGACATCTAAAACATTAATTAAATATTGCTTCAGATACTACATTTCCCCCCACACCCTTAAGTTCCATGGTCAGTTTTTGTAGTTTTACAAACACATTTTCCTGTGGTCTTAGAATCTCTCTCTCCAGTGTTATAGATTACACAAGCAGGGCAAACTGGCTGAATGTTGAGAGGAAAGGACAGTCATATGCACAAACTAAACACACACACACACAAAAATAAGTTTTATGTAATCTGCAAGTTATAAAAATGTAGGTGTTACTTGTTAAAATACTAAATAAAAGAAATGTCATGGATAGGTAGGCTTCAAGTTGTGTGGCAGCAGTTCCCCTGACTAATCGAATACCAAATATAAATCAAGATGGACTGAGGTCGGTCACATTTTCATAAAGATGTACTACAATTTCTCTATACTTTGCTCACAAGCTTGATCATAAGCACTAGGGATGATCATGCAAGAAACGATGACCGAGTAAAGACTTCTAGGATGGCTGGAATTTGTTACCAAGGTAGCATAGCTTGTCCTTGCAAGCAGCTTAACTGTAGCCTCATAAGCACCACTACAAGCTAATTGATATATTAGCTCTATTCATCTTGAAAGAAGCCACTTGCCCGCACCCTTACTTGATTGTCAAAAAAGAGCACATAAAAATAGTGGCTTCCCAGAAAGAAATAACTACTTGTTTTGAGGGCAGTTTTCTTTATTATCTGTTTTGTGGAATTTAGATCTGGTGCTGATTCTGAGATATTCTGACCTCTTAAAAATAGTTCCCCAGATGAGAGTTGTGAGAGGTTACTGATGTTGTATTTAAAACCACCACTACTATATTGTTTTTCTCATCAGGAATAAAGCTTCTTTTTAAATATCATAATTTCCCACCCCCATGCTGTCCCACCAATATTCCATTATTTGCTTTGGATTTTATCCTAAAATGCTTAACACGTTGGTCCCATGCAGCAAACATGTAAGTACATGTTTAACTTTAAGCATGAGAGTCATCACACTGATGCCAACAGGACTACTCACATCAATAAAGTATGATCATAAGTGCCTGGCTAGCTCAGGGCCACAATGCAACTAAACCAGTCGCAGAAGTTAATCTATGCAACCAGCTACTGTAGGCTACAGGCTCTGACTTGGAAAAGATCCTAAGTAAGGATGGTGCAAAGCTGGCTGACTTCAAGACATGGCGCCTTCAGCCTAGCACCAGCAAGACAGTCTCTAGCCCATTCCAACTCTTCGTACTAACACTAAGAGGCAATTTATCATCAGAATGAATGGTCAGAGGCTGAAGCATGACCCTCGACAAAAACTCCCACACAAAAGCCACCTGAGCAAGATAGCAGCAAACATCAAGATGTGCAATAACCTTCTTAGCAAACTAACAGGTTCTTTATGGGGAGCAGATACTCCTGCCCTAAAACCCCAACCCTTGCTATCTCATACTCAATAGCGAGGTACTGTGTGCTAGTCTGGAGACGGCTGGCATGTACCAAACTTGCTGATGTGCAACTTCTCTCAACAATTATCAGAAGGGTAGCTGTGTTAGTCTCAATCTGCATAAACAATGAAAAGTCCTGTGGCACCTTATAGACTAACAGATTTATTGGCGCATAAGCTTTTGTGGGCAAAGACCCACTTCGTCAGATGCATGTAATGTCTCATTGTACTCTCAACAATGTGCATCATCACAGGAAGTCTCTAAATGACTCATCTTCCTTGGTTCCCAGTTCTCAGTCGCATTGCTGCCCCTCATAACAGGAGAGAGACTGCAGCTGGTAAGATGTTTGAGAAGTACGTGTGAATCCAAACTTGCCCTTGTTCAACCTTTTTTTTAAACCCACCCTCTATACTTCTTTCATCATGCCACACTGTGTCTGAGGCTGCCATGCCAGTATGTGTCAGCAGAATCCCTGTGGTGAGAAGGCTGGTGCTTAATATCAACCATAAGTTCCTTTTCATAGAATCATGAAATGCCAGAACTGGAAGAGACCTTGAGAGATCATCAAGTGCAGTCCCTTGCCCTCGCAGCAGGACCAAGCACAGTCTAGATCATCCCTGTCAGATGTCTATCCAACCTGCTCTTAAATATCTCCAGTGATGAAGATTTCACAAATTCCCTAGGCAATTTATTCCAGTGTTTTACCACCCTGACCATTAAGAAGTTTTTCCTAATGTCCAACCTAAACCTCCCTTGCTGCAGTTTAAGCCCATTGCTTCTTGTCCTATATCCTCAGAGGCTAAGGAGAACAATTTGTCTCCTTCCTCCTTGTGACACCCTTTTAGATACTTGAAAATTACTACTATGTCCCCTCTCAGTCTTTTCTAAACTAAACAAGGCCAATTCCTTCAGCCTTTCATCATAGCTCATGTTTTCTAGACCTTTAATCATTTTTGTTGCTCTTCGCTGGACCTTCTCCAATTTCTCCACCTCTTTCTTGAAATGTGGTGCCCAGAACTGGACACAACATTCCAACTGAGGCTAATCAGTACAGAGTAGAGCAGAAGAATGACTTCTCGTGTCTTGCTCACAACACACATGTTCATGCATCCCAGAATCATGTTTGCTTTTTTTGCAACAGTGTCACACTGTTGACTCTTATTTAGCTTGTGACCCATTATGACTCCTAGATCCCTTTCTGCAGTACTTCTTCCTAGACAGTTGCTTCCCATTCTGTATGTGAGACTGATTGTTCCATCCTAAGTGGAGTACTTTGCATTTATCCCTATTAAACTTCATCCTATTTACCTCAGACCATTTCTCTAGGCTTTTGATAGTCTCTTCTGCTCACCTGCCTGGCTTTGACTACCACATAGTCAATGGGCTCTTCTCAGCTAATTCTGGACTGGGCAAGGCACTGTCAACTAGCACCACTGGGGTTTTGAGACAACTGAAGTTGCTTCATGGCAGATGAAGCAATGATACACAGTTGAGGAGAGGCCACTAACCAAATTCAATAGTGGGCTCAGAGAGCTCTATGTGGCTCCCTAAGAAAGTTATTGCTTGGCTCAGCAAATATGCAAACACTAAATAAATAAATGTTCAGTAAATTGCAAAACTTAGCCATTGAAGAGTGAACTAAATAACTTTTTTTTGCCTAACTCTCTGAATTTTAACAAGCACAAAGCTTAAGTCACCTCCTCCTGATTTACTAACCTTATGCTTTAAGCTCTAAATGAAATTGTCACTTACCATGTCCTCGCATCCTGAAATTCACTGTCATTTGCTCCCACAACATTGTTAGTAAAGACTATACATAACAGTTCTAGAATGCCTTAATGGGCTTACTGGAGGTAACATACCCATGTTTTGTTGAAGTTTCAATAGAAATGTGGCTTTTGTTAACTGTATCTGTTCCATGTCATCTGTGCTGTCGACAGGTGGATTTATATCAACTGCAAAAAATTAAGAGATATGTTTAGTAAAACAAGTATTTATTCAATCAAAGTTTAGAAAAGACACCTATATTTTGCAATCACAATAATTAAAAAAGGACATTAAGTTTATAATTCCTGATCCTCTTTATTACTGATCATTTTGTATTATCAGTAGTAATAAGTATCTGTACTAGAACTTGTGCTGTTCAACTTATTTATTGATGATCTGGAAAAAAGGGTGACACTGAAGTGCAAAATTTGAAGACAATATAAAATTATTCATGATAGTTAACGCCAAAGCAGATCTCAAGAAATTACAAAGGGATCTAACAAAACTGGATGACTGGGTAACGAAGATGAAATTCAGCCTAGATATGTACAAAGTAATGAACATTGGAAAACCTAATCCCATATATACATATACGATGGATTCTAAATTAGCTATTATCACTGAAGAAAAAGATAGCGGAGTAACTGTGGTTAGTTCTCTGAAAAGTTCTACCTGAAGTGCATCAGTGGTCAGAGACACTTGCTTTTACCTGTCAATCATTATTAAGAATGGGACAGAAAAAATGAGATCATGCCACTATATAATTCCCTGGTCCTTGGATTCTGTGTCCAATTCTGATCCCCCAATTTCAAGAAGGATATACAGAAACGTAAAAGTTCCAGAGAAGGGCTACAAAGATGATTAAGGGTAGAAAATGGCTTCCATACAAGGATGGTCTAAAAAGATTAGAGACCAGTTCCGGTATGATTGCTCTTATGTTCTTTGTAATAATATTAGCAACAACATAGCATCAACAGAATCCTAAGCACTTTACAAACCAGTTAAGGAGATGAAAGGTAAAAACTATGAACAAACACTTAAGTGACATACATTGCAAGGGCCATTTTCAACAATGACTGACACTTGGGAGCCTAAGTCACTTTTCACTATTTTACCCAGTACTGTATCTCCAATTCCAAAAAGTTTAAATCTTAGCCTCTAGCCCTCAGCTTCTATTCAAAGTAATGAGCATATTTTTGGAAATACCTTGTTACAGTAATTGAGACATTTAAGATGGAATTTTAGAAATGATCACTTAAAAGAGGTTTCAAAAGATGAATGCTGCTCATGCATTAGGCTGGACTTTGTTCTCCACTGGCAGATGGACAATACTCTTGAATGCTCTTGGCCATGCAAATTTTGAAACCACAGCAGCTTCATTTTCAGTATGCCAGCAGCATTTGCATACATAAGCAGAGTGGTGTGGTCCTTGTTCCTGTTGAATCCAGGTGCACCATTTTCACCTGCACTAACAAGGGTTGAAGATAGCAGGCGACACCAATGGAGTCCCATTTCACCAGCACTGTAGAGGTTCTTTGGGGTTACGTCATGATCCTGAATCAGATTCTTAAACAAACAATAGTTCTCTGTGGCCTCACGATCAGCAAATTGTTTCTCTCCAGAGATATCAAGCCTTCGGATACTACAACACATCTTAAAGCATGCCAAACAATCATCAGAAAAAATGCAGGTCTCAGTCATTTACATCTGCTGATAAAAGTCCCTGACCTTTTTGGTCAACATTGGGCCAGAAATTGTAGCTCCCTCAGAATGTTTTAAGGAAAACCATTCGTAGATCACGTTGTCTAATTGCTCCAATTTTGGTTTGTGCAAAGTATGGCATTTCTTTAATTGCTTTGCTCATCTCAGCACTGGACACAAATTTAATCAATTCTGTCTTCTTTGCCTTACTATCATAGACGGTCAACAAGCTAACACCAAACTCTTGCATCAATTGGCTCCTATTTTCTCCTCTTTTAAAGTGCCTAATTAAGTCCAGTTTTTGGATTATAGTGAGCACAATCCATTTTCTTTTCTGTCCAATGCCTATTGCTTGTGTACTTTGAACAAAACTCTAGACAGTTGAAATGCTGATATACAACACAACTCAGAAGAAAGCAAAAACACATCAAGTAACTATTACATATAAAACACGACAGCCTTAACCATCTTATTCTATAATACAAGTATATTCAAAAAGTGTAATTACACTAGTATACACAAGAACTACAAGATATGAAGTCAGCCAGATTTAAGCTTTGATACGTTCAGTGTAATGTCACAAACGTGAATAAAGTCTGTTTGTTCTATTTAGTCATAACCCCTTTTGTAGTCTAATCTGGTTCTTTACTCAGATGCTATATTTACCTGTGTTCATTTCCTCAACTATATGTATTGCTTCCCCATGCACAACTTGATCCAACATCTCAAAAAAACGCTCTTGGATTTCCCCAGCCGTTTCATCTCCAAATTTATAGTCACACAGCATCACATTTGATCCAGCAATGGGGGCAAACACTCTGTGAGGCAGAGCATGATACTCTCTCTCAGAACCTAGAAAGGGAAAGGAAATAAAAACTTTATTGAAGCTAATGTTTTAAACGTGTACATAGTATATAGGTGGAGAAAAAAATGTTGTACTTCTTGGTGTCATGCTTGGATTATCTAAAATTTTTAAAGTTTTGTTTAAGAAGTCACACGATACATACAGTAACTGGTCAGCATTGACCCAGATTTTGATGTGAAAGTTTAGCCATACACTTTAGTATGGGGGTAGATCAGTCCTGGAGAGTTTAACAGATAGTTAGTTGTGGAAAGCAGGTATGTTAATGAGTGGAGTTTCTCCCTCAGTCTGTCAGTATCTAGTATAGACTGTCTGTTGAAAAATACAGTGTGCCAAGGAAGTATTTGGGCTACTTCACTGAAGGCATCCCTTGTTGGCGGTTCTGCTCATCACTCTTGGTACTGCCAATGTTCATGATGTGTTTCGTGTACATACCCCTAGATCACCTGATGGCCCCCAAGACCATGAGCCACCGCACCCGTCGAGCATTACATCGACCAACTCTATACACTTTTAACACTGGCTCGTTGTTGCAATCCCAAGCACTCAGGGCTCCAATACCTTATGGATTTGTATCTCATAGCCCTGAGCTCTCAGGGTGTCGACCAGAGGGGCATTCTTCTCTATCTTCCAAGATCAAGCTGCTGTTTTTGAAGGGAACCATGACATCCACCATAATGATCTTCCTCTGTTTCTCATTGGTGATGATGTCTGGGCATTGCTGGCTATCCGTTCCGGGAATGGCAGAGTTGACAGAAACCTTACCCAGGTTCTAGGGATCCTGGATGTTGTTGTGGCGCAGGTGCCAGGCTTTGGAGTGAGGCATTCAGCCACACAACATGTGGGGCAGCATTTCACTGGTGTAGCCACACTTCCTGCACCACTTGTCCTGATTCCCATGGTGGATTGCTCCATTTAGTGGACCGCATCATCCAGGCCTGGTGGATGAACAGCCAGCCAGCCAGCCAGAGAACCAGCTGCAGGTGCCCCCAGTTAGGAAGTGTGTAACTATGGTAAAGACTTTTCAATAATCAGCATACATTATACATACTGCTGTAAAAGCATTGTCTAAGACGTCGTTAAAAGCCTGATTTTAAATATTTCCAGCCTAAACCTCACTGGTTCACGCAAATTTTAACCACTTATACTTGTAAATTGAAATTATATTCCAATTAGGGAAGTAAAATCCTGTGTAATTAGTTAACCAATTAAAGGGGGGCCATACCTCCCCATCCCACCCACTGCGCCCAGGGTGGAGCAGACCACGGACACTGGCAGGAGCTGTTGCAGGCATCTGGGCGTCCATTAAGGATGGTGCTTACTGGTTAACCTTTCATATCCCTAATTCCAAATAAAACTTTTCATATATTTTTCATATAACCCTCTCTTCATTGGTCCTCAGACATAGCCAAATAATCTTAAAAATGATTATGAATGGAGAATGTCGACCAGGAAATGATACAAAGAACACTCTCAGGAAATTTGGAGATAAAGAAGTTGAGGCATGTGCCAAACAGTCCACAATTTCAGCCTCAAAAAATATAACAATTATTGGCTTAGGGCGACAATTAACACCCATGAAGTACAAGTGCCACCTAGAGAGAAAACAGAAAACTGCATGAAAATAATAAAATCTTTTACTGCCACATTCCCCATTTCGGATAAAGGTAGCTAAAGCAATATTTACTATTAGTTTTTTTCTCAGTATATAGCATAATAAATATAACGTACTGTCATCCTAAAGTAGATGATGACTATTTAGCAACATTCAATTTTCCTTTTGTCTTATTAAACAGTTTGTCTTTATTTTAAAACAAACAAAAAGCCACAAGGCATCTTCCATCTCTCCAATTAGCAAATCTTAGGTAGGAGAAATTAACATTTTACGCAGCTGATGACATGGCATTTGTCACTTAAAAAAAATTCCTTTAAAATTATTATACTCTATGTAGGATAATGAATGGAGTTTGAAGGATCATCTAAGCTTGAATCAGCTAAGATGGTATTGGTATACTAACTTGCTCTCATGGTCTGTAATTATATTAAGATAATAAACTTTGCTATTATGAAGAATAAATATAGTGAAAATAATTCTGGCCTTGAAATGAATATCCAATAGCCTTGCCATTTATTCAATGTGCTGAGCTCACATGCAAGATCTGTACCTTTTTACTTAAATGTAAAGTGAATTTTGTAGATTATATATATGAAATCCCAAAGGAGAAATACTACACCACATGTACTATAACTTGTACATCTGGATAGGAGAATAAGAATTCTCAAACTAAATCAAACCAGAAGTCCATCTACTCAGTATCCTGTCTCTGACAAGGATTAGCATAAGATGCTTTAGAGGAAAGTGTAAGACTACTGCTGCAGGCCAATGTGGCATCATGTGTCCTCCATCTTAGGTCTCATTTAGATCCCCAATAGTTAATTCCTTGTTGAATCTTACCAAGATTGGCATATTTATTTCACTGGCAAGTGAAATAACAAAATAATACAAAAATAACTGGCTGATTTCTGACTAAGCATCAAAGCTCTTCGGTATTAGAGATCTTGATGCTGAGTCTGTGACTATGGGATAAACTTAATTGCACTCAGGATCAGCTAGGCCAGAAAGGGATTAAAGTGGAAGTTGAAATTATATATAGGGCGAGATTCATTACGCGGGGATGGGAGAGGATGCAGGCCCAAAGAACAATGTCTGAAGTTTAACTAAATTCTTCTCCTTCCAACTAAAGAAAGGCAAATGACTGACAAGTAGAAATTGTGCTGCTTGATACACTTTAGTTTCTCTTTAACCACATCAAGGGGGTGGGATAGCTCAGTGGTTTGCGCATTGGCCTGCTAAATCCAGGGTTGTGAGCTCAGTCCTTGAGGAGGGCCATTTAGGGATCTGGGGCAAATCTGTCAGGGATGGTACTTGGTCCTGCCATGAGGGCAGGGGACTGGACTTGACCTCTCAAGGTCCCGTCTAGTTCTATAACTCTATACTATCAAGATTCCAGTCCTTCCAATTGAATCCTGATGATGATCAGTAAGGAACTCCAAGAAAACAAAAAGCAAATTGCATTAGAAAAAGATGATTTGCCTTCTTTCTCTAGGCTCCTACCTTTTTTGTCAGATGCCTCATTTATAAGCAGATCTTCAAACAATATTTCACAACGATCACAGAGTGTGTTTATTATATCCCTCTTCAAAGCCTAAAAAGATAAAACAAAAACACATAAGCAACACGTAAGCCAGTTTGCAAGTTATCTGTGATTATGTAAAAACAACCATAGTGTAGAAAGAGTCTCAGTTTGTCGTATGCATTTAGGCCATCTTAACAGTGATATTAAAAAAAATAAAAAAATAAAACTAAAAAAATAGCTCAACCTAATATTAAACACACACACACACACACACACACACACACTTACACTTTCCTCTTCAGTTTCCTTATCATAACAACAACATATCAAGAAGTGGGGGTTTTAAGAATAAACTTAAATTATGAAATTCAAGCATATGACTACATTAAAAAGACTGGGTTATATTCTTGACTCTACCACAGATTCCCTGAGTCTTCTTGGCCAAGTTACAGGCTCTCTTTAAAATCTGACTATTACCACAATGACTTTCAGAAGCTTAATTCATTGATGTTTGAAGTGCTTGGCACTCCTCATACCATAGAATAATTTGCCTATCAAGACTAATACTGCTCTCACGTTAGGGATGTAAGGGACTTGTCGAGTAGTCGACAACCCGATAAGCCTAGGCTACTCAACTACTTGCTTCCTCCTCCCCCCCTTGCTGCCTCTGTTTCAGAGGCAGTAAGGGGACGGGTGTCAGCTTGAAAGCCAGCTCCTCACAGCACTCTCTCTGCAGTGCAAGAGAAGCGAGGCGCAGGAGAGGCAGAGGTGCAGTGGTCTGGGAACTGGCAGGAGCCAGGACTGCTCACTCCCAGCTCGTGCTAGGTCCCGGACCACTGCACCTCTGCATTTTAAATGTACTAAGATCTGCTTGGCTCTTATTACATTTAAACTGCAGAGCCACAGCAGGAGTAGGTCTGGGAGCTGGCGCAAGCCAGAACTGAGCAATCCTGGATCACACTGGGTCCCAGACTGCTGTGCTCTGCATTTTAAATGTAGTTAAGAGCTGGCAGTCTGGGACGCAGCATGAGCTGGAACTGCTCAGTCCGGCTTGCATTGGGTCTGGGACATACGCCCCCTGCAGTTTAAATATAGTAGGAGCTGGACTGCCTGTACACCTGCTTTCTACTACATTTAAACTGCAGATCCGCAGCGGGACTCTTTATCAACTAATCCTATAGTTGATACAAATTGAAACGACTACCGGGTTAGTCAGTTACCAGCTTCTTAACATCCTTATCTCACATACACTCCTCCTCCATTAAAACCACTCCCTCCATTGAAACGAGAGTACAGCATAGCCCATTACCATATCTGGTCTGTTAAATAAAACTGTTGTAAGTTCTTAGGGAGTTTCTTTTTGATAAACAGAGTAAAAGTTAGCCTAAGACGATATGATGCATTATTTCAACCATGCAGAAGTTTGCAACACAGGAAAATACTGACTGTCATGTTCAGTATTTTTTTGGACAACATTAGAAATACACTAGGAGAACGCTATGCAGAGATAGTGAGGCCAACAGTCACTGTGGGTTTTGGGGCAAGGTGTGGGGTGGGAGGGCACTCCGTGCCCCCGGAAGGGAAGGGGCAGTGGACAGGCAGCCTCTAGCCCAACCCTCAAGGTTGAGCAGAGCAGTGGTCCGGCAGCAATTCAAAGAGGCCCAGAGCTCCAGCCACTGTCGTTGCCACCAGGTCCTGGAGCACTCCCCTTCCATTCTGTCCCCATTGGGCCTGTGCGAGAAGATCACTTTGTCTGATTAAGAAATACTAAATTGGGATATATTATCTGCCTACATTTTTCCTCCACCACATACAAAAATACATAACATACAGAAGTCATTTCTTTAATTTTAAGAAAACTTTACATCAAGCACTAGACTAAGAATAATATAAAATTTTTTAGGGGGAAAAAAACAACACTAGTGGAGACCTAAAATGAACTGCTTATAAATAAAATTGAACCTTCTGAAAAATGTATTGTCTTGCATATTAAAAGGGACTTCCAAACTAGGCTCAAAAAAATTCTCAACTCCAGGGAACTAGATTGATAATTTGGAATTTTTGGATCTCTATTATCCTACCAAAGGCAAAGGCAGACCACCACTTTAAGGGTTCCAGTAAAATATTTGAGAAAAGATTAAAGCCATTTTCTTCAAAGCAATGAAGGAGACTGATCTCTATATTCAGTACCTGAATAGCATCCTTAACTTTTGGCTTGTTATTATGGATGTAAGCTCTGCACTTCACTGCACCTTTAAGATTTATGGAACCACTGCAGACTTGCACCATTGCTGTTGATCTATGGCCTGAGCTCTGGGACTGAAAAATAAACACATTTGAATAATGTTAACCACGCATCTGCAATCGGATCAATCATGAAGCAACTACATATTTCTATTAACAACACTTTAAAATATTAAAAACTTGGTACAGTGTGGTATTTTCCCCTAATATTTATACCTTTTACTTAATATGGAAATCTGTCTCAACATTTTTGTCCTTTTCCAATTGGTAAATTCTTTATAATTTGCTTTTCCAGGAACTTATTTTTTGCAATCTATGCATTTTATATTTACTTCTCATCAGCATGCAAATAGCTATTAATGGTGATGCTAGCAAGATTGTGAAAGTAGAATTAATTTAGCTCTTTCTGTTTTTGAAGTTGGTCACTATTGTTTTCATTTAAAAAATATAAGTAGTTTGCACATGGTAGGACTACAGAATTAACTTATTTTCAGTCAGCTGTTGCTAATACAATATTTTCCCAGTAAACACCTTTGTACACTGCTTTTTGAAGCCTTTTTTAAGTGACAGAAAATGTGTCTACTTACTGTATTAGTAAGTATAATCTAGAATATCTACGTTGTGCTGTTTGAGTATTTTTCTTAAAGTAGATTCATCCACCAGTCCTAGAATTAATTAGGAAGAGATATTTTTATCTGGTCATATTTGGAACTAAATCAAAGCTAGATCATGGAGTCCTTAACCTATTTTAGGACAAACTATGTTTCTATGGCCAGAGGGAGACCATTCAAGCTGATGCTCTCCCTTGTCTTGACTACCATGAACAGTTCACAGAACAACTGGTGATTCCAATATAATCAATATCTTTGGAAACTTGATAGACTGTAAACATCTACCCTTTTCACAAAGGAAAAATGGGCATGTCTCATGAAAAATAACTTATATCATTGATATTTTGATTACATTTAAAGGGGTCGTAAATTTTGTGTAACATTCAACAAGTCACTTAGACCCTGATAAAAAAATACCTATTTGAAATAAAAGGTGTTCTTTTTAAAACAGAGTAAATTAAGAACTGAAACAACATTACTAGGAATATGATGGATTCATCATCATCTAAAGTCTTTAAAATCAGAACTGGAGGTTTGTCTTCTGAAACAGTGGTTTTCAAGCAGGAGTACACGTACCCTTGAGAGTACTCAAAGGTCTTCCAGGGAGCACATCAACTCATCCATATATTTATCTATTTACAATGTGCTGCATAGAAGTGCTAGTGAAATCAGTAAAAACTAAAATTTCACACAGATAATGTCTTGTTTATACTGCTCTATCTACTATACACTGAAATGTAATCACAATATTACAACTAATTTAATTTATAATTCAATGGTACAAAGAAAGTAAGCAATTTGTCATCAGATTGCTCTGACACTGGTCTGTTTGATTTTGCAAGCAAATAGTTTTTAAATTAGGTGAAACTTGGGGGTACACAAGACAATCAGACTGCTAACTGAAGACTGAAAAGGTTGAGAGCCACAGTTCTAAAAGATATATGCTCTACCTCAACTAGAATGTATAGGCTTGACACAGAAACCATTTGTTAAAATGCTGTGGGGTCTGTGTTATATGGGAGATCTGACTAGATAAGCACAATGGTCCCTTCTGACCTTAAGATCTATAAGCCTGTTTCATTCATGTGAACCCATACAGCCACACAAAGCCTCACTGAAGTAAATGGGGCCTTGTAGGTGCAGGTTTCAGTCCAAGATGAGAAGTTTACAGAATTAAACACCCACGGGTCTCAGATTCCCTCTCTCTTCAAATATATCACATGATTCTCAGATGTTTGTGCTCTATCAGGACCTGATACTCACACTGAAGTCAATAATTTGGAGAAGTTCCTAAGTACCAGGATTATATTAATCTGAACAAGAACCAAATTTATAGTGGGCAGTAGTTGTTTAAAAAGAACCCATCACTTTCAATTTTTATTTCTTACTTCATACCCCCCTTTTTAGAGTAGGCATCTGAGAATAAAGCTTTATGAAATACTGCCCCTAACCTTACTGGCAATTTCCACATACAATACTTACCAACTGCGTCAGAACCTTCACATCAAAGGGTTGAATGTTTCCTCTTGAAGACTTTTTCTGATAAAAAAAAGGAAGGGAAAAAAACTGTGTGAAACATATAGAATATTTATCCGTATCTACCATATCGAGGTATTCCATAGGCCCTAGCAATGTAGTATCAGTGTGTAGATTTTAGAAAGAAAATTGAGATATAGAAAGAACCTTAAGGACATAGTTAACAAAATGTCCGGAACCTTTGGTAAAACATTGTTAAGAGTGCTTTTAGTACTAAAACAATGGCACAGCTTTAGATGACTTCATTAAAATATTTTTGAGTGGCTTGTTCTTTTTTCTTCCAAAAACTGCAACAGCAAAAAAAACTGTCAAAGACATCCATAAAGGTCAATCTAATCTGCAACATATGGGCAGAGCCTTTGTATATACCAGTTCTCACTAACTTATTTTTCTTTTCACTACTTCTACAATCATCCCTATTTTTTGTTCTGAGGACAGGGAGGAGGAGTCGCAGCAAGTTCAAAATAAAGAAAAGGAAGTCCCTAGATGGACTTTTAGCCTGACCCAGTATGGCCATTTTTATGCAAGAGAAAAGCAATCCTTTATATTAGTGATATGTCACATGTCAAGTAGAAATAAAATATTCCACAAACCATCTTTCAGCTACTTATATGACCATACCAGACTTTTTAAGTGACAGATCACTATTAATCCCATGCTATACAGCACATACCTGACCTTCCAATAGCTCTGCATCATCTTCTTTAACTTGCCCATTGATGAGAAAAATACCTTCTTCTATCTGTTTTGCCCACCGGGTTAATCCGTTCTTTAAAACCCAAAAGCAAAGAAAGACTGTAAGTAGTTATTTCACCAAGACAACTTCTCGAAAAATAAACTACACTTTTGGTTGAATATTGCCAAGAAAAAACACCAAGACTCCAAAACTACTGCAATATATGTTTAAATCATTAGCCAAAGACAGACATTAACAAATCCTAACCAGCTTTCAGACCTGTCATCCACCTACACTATAGCAATAGACAACATACTACTTACAAGCCACATATTAATCTACATTTCCTAAATATAAATATTAATTTTAATCTTTATTGGCCTAGTTTCCCACAAGCACCGGCTCCTGCCCGGCCCCTGCACTACTGACTCTGAGAGAGGCAGCAGTGGGGGGAGGGAGGGAGGCTGGCGGCCCCGCAGGAATCAATACTTGTGGGGAGCTGGCTTAAAAGCTAGCTCTACCCAGGCACCAGCTTCCCCTTCTTCCCCCTTGCTGCCTCTGTATCAGAGGCTTTCAGGGAGAGGGAATGCGTGTAGTCATTAGGATTATTTGATAAGCCCAGGCTTACTGGTTAATTGTTTAAATGACTATACATTAACATCCCTAATTTTTAAATGCTATCAAAACCAGACTTTGCATTGAATGAAGAGAAAAAAGGAAAGCTATCTAATTTACACTCTCCTAATAATATTTTGAATAAAATAAACAGAGAAAAGTACACAGGAAAAGAAATCTTGAAGATTTCTCAATCTATGCTTTGTTATTATCAATGCAGAAAAAACACAAGGAATTTACAACCTCATAGATTTAACTACCAGTAAATATTCATTAATTCTATTACCCTACTGTTGCATATTTTCATAATAGTATTCATTTCTAAGCAATATAATAGTATGTACTATATTAAAGGAGTAAGAGATATTATATTAGTATATTTTATAGACATTATTTTTTGTTCATTTACCCTTGTATTTTTCTCTAGTTCATAGTTGATTGTTGTAGCAGAAAGTGGGATGTGAATATTAACATTAACTGTGCACTCCAAAGATAGCCAGAAGGTAGATAGGCCACTTTGGTACTTCCAGTCTGCTGGCCTAGCTGAACTCTAGAAGGCAAAGACAGGGTTTTATTTTTAATATGTAGCAAATGTAATGGCTTGACACAAATCTGAAATAAAATGAATCTCTTCCGAACTTTGTAAATCTTGCATACAGTAGTCAAATCTTACCTTTGGATCTTTTATATCATAAGTTCGACAAATTATCCTTTACTATTTAAGGAAAAACTCAATGCAACACGCTTAAAAAGGAATAAATAAAAACTAAGGAACAAAAGAAAAAACAAAATATGCTAAATTAACTTGTCTTTTATCACCTACATTTACCATCTGCTTGTTTTCCAGGAACATGTTTTTAATTGTATAGAGAATGTTCTCACACTAATGGGAATGAAAAAATATTTCACCTGTAAACTATAATTAGAGGAACAATGTGCTTGCCTTTCAAATATATATCAACACTTATAGCTACCTCTATGTTAACGTACAAGCCCTGATGCCTCCCATATTTCTCTACAATGGTGCTTTCTCTCCCAGTCTCCTCCAGAGCAGTACTTCTCCAGCTGTCAATTTGTTGAACTTCAGTTCTTTCCCATGTTCCCCACCTACACAGCTTTCTCCACTCCCTGGTGCTTCCCCATCCAGGCCCCTTCCTGTTGAACCTCTCATTTGCCTCAACTTCCATCCATCAATAGAAATCCCTGTATCACTAACAGAAAAACATCCTGCATTTACTATTTGCAACTGGATAACATTCCTCACCTACTTGCATTCATCATACAAAAGTAGATATAAATGTAATTTAGTGAGACCACCCCAAACCTAAAATCAAAGCACATGTCCATATAACCAATACACATGCTTAAAGTTTAGGCTACCTATTGGCAGAGCGAAGTGAGGGTGGGAATGTGGGCTGTGAATGATGGAAAGACAGTAAATGAGCTTTAATAGGGAAACTAGTAAGTTGAGAACAGAATAGATGCTTTGCTTTTTAGGGTTTGTACTGGTGCAATATCCAATCTAGCAACCCTTGACAGTAAGGTAATGAAGATTTTTGGACAGCATTAGACCATATTAGGTGGCTCCTGCACAGCATTATATTTCAATATACTGTCTCAAAAGACTACAGTATATTTTTGCCATAGAAGGATACTTCTTTGTAGCAGAACAAACGTGAAGAGCCACTCTGTCAGAGATCTCCTCATCAGCAAAATTCCAGAGCCTCTTTTTAGCTACAGACTTTTCTATTGAAAAAACTAGCTGAAAAAGACAAAAAATGTTATGGGATTTTTCTTCATAGCACAAAGAAAAATTAAAGTAATTATAATTACTGAAAACAGCCCTTCATTTCAGTTCTAAAGTAACATAGCATGTATTTTTAACAATGTGTCAGTATCACAAAGTATATCCACTTTGTAATGGAACCAAAACTTGAATATTTGCAAATGCACAGGCTGCAAATATACAAACTGAAACTGACAGAAAGATTTATGCAAACACTTGGGAATAGTCACTGCTACTCCAAAGCCAGTATCTATTTTCTAAAGACCTTATGGCTTTTAGTTATAGTCTAACTTGAAATCTGACAGTAAGAAAGTTGGCTTGTCTAACATCATACCATATTCAGACAGAACAAGAACTAAAAATACATGGTTTTAATTTAGGCTGGTGCAGTTGTTAAATGTCTGAAACATCATACGAAAGACTCAAGATGTTAATGAAAATATCTAACATGAAGATTCTACATTGGACAGCAGTTGCTGTCCAACTGCACAGAAGCAGCACAACCACTATCACAATACTTTAAAAAAATAACTAACTTAACACATTGCACTTTTTAAAAAAACTTTCATAAACTTGCTTATGTTCCACTTAGACTTGGTTTCTTTCTTTGTCTTCCTCTACTCTAAGTCCCTCAACACAATCTGGCTTCCTTCCCTGCAGCTTTTGATATTAACAGCAGCTTTCTCATCTCTCTCCATCTCATCAACTCTCTTCAGACCACACCTGTCTCCACATTTTCCATTCCCGCTTCAAACCATTTAACTCTGTGAAACAATCTGGAAGACAGTTGGTATTACGACAATAGAGCAGATAAAATTATATAATCATGACAGGTTAATTCACAGAAGTCACCTTGGGGTAGAGATGTAAAATCCCAGTTAATCAGTTAACTGTTTAGCCAAATAAGCAGGATCCTGCTCCTGTCCTCCCTCTACCTCCCACAGTATGGCCAGCTTCTGCTCCTGATCCCCCGCCAATGCACAGGGGGGAGGAGGCGGCAGCTTGATCCCAGTCCCCCCAAAGGAAGGGCACCGCTCCCGGGTAGCTATTAACCAGTAAGTAACCAGTAAGCATCACCTGGTAATCGGTTACTTGGTTACCCATTTTCATCCCTATCTTGGAATTTTCATCTGGTGTGCTGATCATACCACTGATGTTTGCCTTCCCCACAACCCTGTCCTGCTGGGCCAGACCCTCTGTCTCCCCCAGCCAAACTACAGAGTTCCAGACTTCAAGATTAAGATAATACTGCTTTAACATATGGTTGGTATTTTTTATCCAGTCAGCTGCTAATATTAAGCTATGATAAATAACTTGAATACACTGTGTCTCAAATACAGCCAAGTGCTGAGAATCTACAGGCCTGAAGGTCATCCTTACTTTTGGCAAGTTACCACAGCTTCCTTTTCCCATCATATGGAAACAGGTCACGTTATCTATACTTAATATCTATATAGAAGGAAAAGCTACCACACTGGAAAGAAAACCAACTAGACTACAAACAATGGACTTCAAACCAACACAAAAACAACATGTTCTCTTGGGAAATGTTAATGGAGTACTCAGTATATTCTAAACAAATACTAAGTGTAATTTTAATGTAATGTAGATAGTTTCAATATATAGCTATTTATCTATTTGAGAGAGTTTGTATGTTTGTCTGTCTGTTCAAGAACTCCTCCTAAAAAGTAAAGAGCTAGAACCACCAAATTCCATATGATGCTTCCTCTTATAATAAAGCAAGATAAGGGTTTGGTTATGCCAGGAAAACAGGATGTGCCCAGAATGGTATTGCTACTCATAAAGTCACACAGACACAGAATTATCGGGCAGGTGAGAGGGTCTGGCTGGGTCATGCCCCTCCGCTCTGACCCCATCACCGCCCCAGTTCAGCATTGCCCCAAGGCCTGACCCTCCCAAGCCCAGGCACTGATTTGTACGGGAACATTACTGGTTGTTCTCCTTCATCAGGGAGTGAGGGGAAAAGGGCACAGTTTGCTGCATTCCTCACTCTGCCTGTGGATACAGGAGACAGACAAACTTGGACCTGCCCTCCCTCTCCCCGAGAGACATACATCCCTGCCCTGGCTGTGCCCACTGCAGCTGCAGCAGTTATGAAGAGGCACTTCACATCTGGCCCCAAGCTGCTGTGGTGAGAGAGGGCTGAGATAGTCCTCTCTCCCTGGGGCAGCCTGCACACTGAACCTCTCATCCCCAACCCCAACCCAGAGCAATGATTTAACTAAAGAAAAACAAAAATTGAGTTAAAGACCTGAGCAACCCCGGGTAAATCTTCTAGAGTTCAATAAATCAGATCTAAGAATACTTATGTCTGGGACATTTTTTATTTCTGTTTAAGAGAACCCATTGACTAAATTTAGCTAAAACTTCAGTGAAAGAATAACGTCCTCCTGGGGACGTTATTTATGCACTTACCTTGCGCAAAGCATTTTGGACATCTTTTGCCACTTCTGGAGCTGCAATAATAAATACACCAAGAACTAGCAGTCCTCCTGGGAGCATTCTGGACAACTTACAAAATAAGTAGAAAAGCAAATTATTAATTATTATTATTGTAAAGGTCTATAAACGATATTACTTAGTTTACTATAGGTTTTGTTTTTAAAGGTATCAGATAGGGATCTAAAATCCCATTTAATCAGGTAACCAGTTAAATGTTAGGTTAACCTAACATTTAACCAGTTAATCAACTAAGCAGGATCCCAGGCGGGGGACCGCTCCATCTCAGCTGAAACAGCCCCCAGCCTGCGGGGTGACAGGGCTGCCAGCTCCCAATCCCACGTGGGGGCCCAGTGGGGCAGGAGCAGTCTCCTGCCCACAGCAGGCTGTGAGCAAGGGGCTACTTCCGGGCACCGGTTAACAGTTACAAGGTAAGCATATTCAGTAAGGTTAACCAATTACCCGTTCACATACTTAGTATCAGAACCCAGATGTAGAATAAACTGAAAGACTAAAATTAGCAAGGTTATTTCTCATCTTCACAAACCCTTATTTAAAAATACTCGTCTTCCACTCTATTGTCATATATTTCATGCAAATGTTGTGCTTTGACAAAAAGACAGAAACATACTACTAATTATTGGTTATAATAGTATAAGGTTTTGATCAACTAACAAAATAAGTGCTAACAAAGGAGTAATGAGAAGAAAACTTCAAATCCTAACTTCAATTTCACACATTCTTTACCCTAACTGTACACCCAATGAAAGTGCTTTACCTGACTAGCATGTGCTGTTACCCATTCTTCATCAATGTCAGCCAATTGTGGATGATGATTTTTGTTGCTTTCATTCTGCTCTTCTCTTGGAGGTGTTCTAATAGCCAGAATCACATAATCTCTTTGTAGGGAACACTTTAGGGGAAGAAAAAAGGCTATGAGATTGGTATTGGATTTCAAAGGTAAACACAAAGCAGTATATAGTGCCTTTGGAGATGCTGTGTGGTTCATTTCCATAGCTCAAGGATTTAAAATAAAACAAAATCACACACAAATATCTTTTCTTTCATGCCTTTAGCTCTTATATGGACTCAAAGAGGTAAAAAATTAGACTCTAAATAACATATTTAGAAAATATAAGTCTAACAGATTTTTGGCTTTTTTTTTATTCTTGTTGAAACAGTTTTAGGTTTGTTTGCCATCTCTCCCCTCGCCAAACAAAAGCCTACCCCCTTGCTACAGCTGCAAGGGGTTTGATTTATTCCAGGAAATTTCCTCACCAGGTATAATCTTTAATTAAAGATTAATATTTAATTCCTGGAGACTCCAGGATAATCCTACAGTGTCAGGATTGAAATCTAGTCACTGCAATACTGTGTTAATGCAAGAGAACCTGTAAGTGAAATCAGATTATTATATAAAGGAAAACCGAGTACTGTAGTCTATTTTCATCTTCCAACCTTAGAGAAGTGAAAAAATTTAAAGAGTCAATACAGCAAGTACTGGCAGGTGATTTTTTTAAACTCTTCATTTTTAATAATCTAAAACTTCTTACAGTCCCTTCACATTCAAGGAACACAGAATTCTAAAAGCCCACATGTTCTTATCAATTCATGGCAATGCACTCTGACCGATTTCACTTCTGATGCTTATTTTATAAACTTAAGGGAAAAGTCCCCTGTGCATGCTCAGAGTAGGGATGTAAAATTCCATTTTAGTTTAACCAGTTAATCAATTAACGAGAGTGGGCTCCAGTCTGGCTGCAGCGACCCCCCAGCATGTTGCTGGGCTGGAGTGGCTGGGCTGCCGGGTGCCCAGGCCTGCAGCAGGCAAAGGCTGCTCCAGCCCAGCTAGTGTATCCCAGTCCATGGCAGGCCTCCACGGGGGTGGAGCAACCCTCTGCTCATAACAGGCAGGGGGCTGCTCCAGTCCCCACTAGTTAACCAATAAAACATTCACATAACTAGCTCTGCGCACATCCCTAGTTCAGCGGCTCTCAAATTGCAGTCCATGTTCCGCCGCTTTGCTCTGCTCTGCTCTACTTTGCTCCCCGTCCCCCTGGTCTGCAGACCAGGGGGACGGGGAGCAAAGTAGAGCAGAGCAGAGCAAAGCGGCGGAACATGGACTGCAATTTGAGAGCCGCTGAACTAGGGATGTGCGCAGAGCTAGTTATGTGAATGTTTTATTGGTTAACTAGTGGGGACTGGAGCAGCCCCCTGCCTGTTATGAGCAGAGGGTTGCTCCACCCCCGTGGAGGCCTGCCATGGACTGGGATACACTAGCTGGGCTGGAGCAGCCTTTGCCTGCTGCAGGCCTGGGCAGCAGGCAGGCAAGCCACTCCAGCCCAGCAACATGCTGGGGGGTCGCTGCAGCCAGACTGGAGCCCACTCTCGTTAATTGATTAACTGGTTAAACTAAAATGGAATTTTACATCCCTACTCTGAGCATGCACAGGGGACTTTTCCCTTAAGTTTATAAAATAAGCATCAGAAGTGAAATCGGTCAGAGTGCATTGCCATGAATTGATAAGAACATGTGGGCTTTTAGAATTCTGTGTTCCTTGAATGTGAAGGGACTGTAAGAAGTTTTAGATTATTAAAAATGAAGAGTTTAAAAAAATCACCTGCCAGTACTTGCTGTATTGACTCTTTAAATTTTTTCACTTCTCTAAGGTTGGAAGATGAAAATAGACTACAGTACTCGGTTTTCCTTTATATAATAATCTGATTTCACTTACAGGTTCTCTTGCATTAACACAGTATTGCAGTGACTAGATTTCAATCCTGACACTGTAGGATTATCCTGGAGTCTCCAGGAATTAAATATTAATCTTTAATTAAAGATTATACCTGGTGAGGAAATTTCCTGGAATAAATCAAACCCCTTGCAGCTGTAGCAAGGGGGTAGGCTTTTGTTTGGCGAGGGGAGAGATGGCAAACAAACCTAAAACTGTTTCAACAAGAATAAAAAAAAAGCCAAAAATCTGTTAGACTTATATTTTCTAAATATGTTATTTAGAGTCTAATTTTTTACCTCTTTGAGTCCATATAAGAGCTAAAGGCATGAAAGAAAAGATATTTGTGTGTGATTTTGTTTTATTTTAAATCCTTGAGCTATGGAAATGAACCACACAGCATCTCCAAAGGCACTATATACTGCTTTGTGTTTACCTTTGAAATCCAATACCAATCTCATAGCCTTTTTTCTTCCCCTAAAGTGTTCCCTACAAAGAGATTATGTGATTCTGGCTATTAGAACACCTCCAAGAGAAGAGCAGAATGAAAGCAACAAAAATCATCATCCACAATTGGCTGACATTGATGAAGAATGGGTAACAGCACATGCTAGTCAGGTAAAGCACTTTCATTGGGTGTACAGTTAGGGTAAAGAATGTGTGAAATTGAAGTTAGGATTTGAAGTTTTCTTCTCATTACTCCTTTGTTAGCACTTATTTTGTTAGTTGATCAAAACCTTATACTATTATAACCAATAATTAGTAGTATGTTTCTGTCTTTTTGTCAAAGCACAACATTTGCATGAAATATATGACAATAGAGTGGAAGACGAGTATTTTTAAATAAGGGTTTGTGAAGATGAGAAATAACCTTGCTAATTTTAGAGCTACTCACCTGTGTTGTTGCTCGGTGAGTAGCTGCTCCTCAAATGAGGAAATCTAATGTAAATGTACTGTGCAGGCACGCAGTTCAGAGAGGGCTCAAGAGCTACTCTTAGAGCCCCTGAGATCTACCGGTAGATCGCGATCTACTGGTTGGTGACCACGGCTGTAAGGCCTTAACTATTGATCTTGTCTGAAACTCTATGCAATTGTTTGGTGTGAATGGAGGGTCTGAGCTGCTCCTCAAATGAGGAAATCTAATGTAAATGTACTGTGCAGGCACGCAGTTCAGAGAGGGCTCAAGAGCTACTCTTAGAGCCCCTGAGATCTACCGGTAGATCGCGATCTACTGGTTGGTGACCACGGCTGTAAGGCCTTAACTATTGATCTTGTCTGAAACTCTATGCAATTGTTTGGTGTGAATGGAGGGTCTGTGTGAGTGGATTATAGAACAATAGATCTGGAAGAGACCTCAGAAGGCCATCAAGTCCAGCCCCCTGCCCCAGGCAGGACCAATCCCAATTAAATCAATCCAGCTTTGGGGGTTTGTCAAGCCGAGACTTAAATACCTCTAGGGATGGAGACTCCACTACTTCCCTAGGTAACCCATTCCAGTGCTTCACCACCCTCCTAGTGAAATAGTTTTTCCTAATATCCAACCTGGACCTCTCCCACCACAACTTGAGACAGCCCCTTGCCCAAAGCAGGGCCAATCCCAACTAAATCTTCCCAGCCAGGGCTGGGACATAAAAACCTCTAGGGATGGAGATTCCACCACTTCCCTAGGTAACCCATTCCAGTGCTTCACCACCCACCTAGAGAAATAATTTTTCCTAATATCCAACCTAGACCCCCTGCACTGTATCGTAAGACCACTATTGCTTGTTCTGTTTCAGTCGCTACTGAGACCAGCCTCTCTCCATCCTCTTTCAACTTCCTGAAGGGAGGTTCTAAGGCTGCTATCAAATCCCCCCTCATTCTTCTCTTCTGCAGACTAATTAAGCCTCATAGGTCAAGTGTTCCAGCCCCCTAATCATTTTGGTTAGTCTCCACTGGATCCTCTCTAATGCATCCACATCCTTCTTGTAATTGCAGGCACAGAACTGCACACAATACTCCAGATGTGTTTGGGGGGGAAGGAGCCACCAGTGCTCAGGGTTTCAGCCCTACAGCCAGGGGTGGGGTGAGGGGAGGTGCCGGCGCTCAGGGAGAGGGCGAAGGAGCCGTAGGCACTCAGAGCTTCAGCTACTGGAGCCGTAAGCACCAGCGGCTCCCCCCACCCCCTTCCCCCCCCATGTAACAATGCTTCGGATTCTTCCGTCCCAAGTGCAGGACTCTACACTTGTCCTTGTTGAACCTCATCAGATTTCTTGTGGCCCAATCCTCCAATCTGCCTAAGTCACTCTGGACTCTATCTCTGCCCTCCAGCGTATCTATCTCTCCGCCTACCTTAGCGTCATCCGCAAACTTGCTGAGAGTGCAATCCATCCCCTCATCCAGGTCATTAATAAAGATGTTGAACAAAACTGGTCCCAAACTGAACCTCCGCTAGAAACCAACCGCCATCCTGACATTGAGCCGTTGATCATTACCCGCTGGGCCCGACTTTCCAGCCAGCTTTCTATCCATCTTACAGTCCATTTATCCAATCCACATTCCCTTAACTTGTTGGCAAGAATATTGTGGGAGACCATATCAAAAGCTTTGCTAAAGTCAAGGTATATCACATCTACTGACTTCCCCATATCCACAGAGCCAGTTACCTCATCATAGAAGCTAATCAGATTGGTCAGGCACGACCTGCCCTTCATGAATCCATGCTGACTGTTCTTGATCACTTTCCCCTCTTCCATTAAATCTGTAAAGCACTTGCTTTAAAATGGATTCCTTGAGGATCCCTTCCATGATTTTTCCAGGGACTGAGGTAAGACTGACCAGCCTATAAATTCCTGGATCGTCCTTCTTCCCTTTCTTAAAGATGGGCACTACATTTGCCTTTTTCCAATCACCGGGATCTCTCCTGATCTCCACGACTTTTCAAAGATAATGGCCAAAGGCTCCTCAATGACATTTGCCAACTTCTTCAGTACTCTTGGATGTATTAAATCCGGACCCATAGATTTATGTACTTTTAGCTTTTCTAAGTAGGTCCTAACCTGTTGCTTCCCCACCAAGGGCTGTCCACCTTCGTCCCATATTGCATCACTTAGCGCATTAGACTGGGAGCTGACCTTGTCCATGAAGACAGAGGCAAAGAAAGCATTAAGTACTTCAGCTTTCCCCACATCATCTGTCACTAAGTTACCGCCCTCATCCAGTAGGGGCCCTACACCCCCTCTGATCACCTTCTTCTTGCTAATATGCCTGTAGAAACCTTTGTTATCCTTCACATCCTTTGTGAGTCGCAATTCCAATTGCTCTTTCGCCTTCCTGATAACTCCCCTACATTCTTGAGCTACACATTTATACCCCTCCCTAGTCATCAGTCCAAGTTTCCACTTTTTGTATATCTCCCTTTTTGCGCTTAAGATCCCCAAGGATTTCCCCGGTGAGCCAATCTGGTCTCCTACCATATTTGCTTCTCTTGCATTGGAATGGTTTCTTTCTGTGCCTTCAATATGGCTTCTTTAAAATACTGCCAGCTCTCCTGGGCTCCTTTCCCCTTCATGATAGCAGAAAGCCATCACAGATACCCAGGTAATCAAGAACAAGTGGAAACTTTGAAGATAACAAGGAAACATGCATTGTGTCTTGAAACTGAATTGAACTAGCAGCATTAACTAACCCTGGAGACAGGCAGAGACCCCACCAAGAGTGAGAGACCAGGATGGGAATCCAGACAATCACCATGAAGGATAACTCTGGAGAACACAGATTAAGGGTGTATGACAGCAGCATGACTTTGGGCATGTCTAGACTACATAGATTAGGGTTGTAGGCAAAGGGAAATGAAGCAGCGATTTAAATAATTGCTGCTTCATTTAAATTAAAATGGCTGCCGCTTCATTTCCCTTTGCCGACTAAACAAATCTACATGGCTCCTTCGATGGAGACACGTAGTCTAGACACACCTACTGAAATATCTATAGGCCTAACTGGGAATTTACATGTATAAGAAGGGAAGCTCTTACCATGGGACTCTGGGTTCAGTCCTGCAAGACAAGCCTCAGAAGAACCCCAACTCCTCACTCAGTCAGCTTTGCCTGGCCAGTAAAACTGACTTGAGCCACCATGGACCAGTAACTATGCACCATCTGCAGGACGTGCGTGCGTATGCATCTGCATGTGTCCTTATAAAGCATATGCTAACTGCTTCTCTGCTGTATTCTCAATAAACACGGTGTATTGCCTTTTCCCTGAAAAAGATCCCGTGTGCTTCTTATAAGCATAACGAACAAACTGGAAAGTCATGGCAGTCGGGAGCCCAGGAGCCACTCGCTGGCCAGGAAGGAGCGGGCAACACAATGATGTGCTACCCAGAGGCTTTCCCCACTGCAATGGGGCACAAAGTCAGGTAAGCATGTCCCCTCATACTAAGACCCCTGCACTGCAATTCCCCTCACTTGCTTCTCTCCCCCCACCAAGACCCTGCACCCCCAGCTTGCTCCTACATCTTCCCTTGCTCCTGCACCCTCCCTTGCTCTTGCTTCCTCCCCCTGTCCAGACACCCTACCCCCAGCCTGCTTCTACCTCCCATCCAGCCCTCTCACTCCCACCCCGATCCAGCATCCCCATCCCTATCCCACTCACTGGCAGCCCTGTCCCATGCACTGCACCTCTCATTTTTGCCCCCACCCCAGAGCCTTAGGTTTCCACAAAACCTACTAATTCTGGAACCCCAGAAAAGTAAATCTAGCCTATGGGAAGCCCTGAACCTCAATCCTCGCTGTCCCTTCCCCTCGCTCCATGGGGTTGGAGCACCAATGGAGTGAGTTGTCTCAGTTGGGGGCCACATCAGTGTGGGTTGGGGGCTTTGGAAGGAGTTTTTTTTGCTTTTTTATTTGTGTGGTCCTCAGCTGATTTTTCTGTGGGTCAGTGGTCTCTGACCCTAAAAAGGTTCCCCACCCCTGCCATACACAAAGAACACATTATGTGTTGGACATAAATTAATATTTTACTTGATTTAAAATGAAGCTTGATAAACTAACATGAGAAAGTTAAAATGCTTAATCTGTTTAATAATTTAAATTAAACCATTCTCTTTAGCTGCAGCACTTGCAAAATGGCTCAGGGTTACTTATGTAATTACAAGTGAGTTTCCATTAGCAATTGGTGGTCTACAGAAAGGTTTGCATTGAGCCAGGTAGTCCATGGGCCAAAAAATTTGAGAACCGGTGCTTTAGTTTCCTGATCTTTCAGCACTTCAGCTAGTTAGCTGAAAGGCTGTTCAAAACACAATTCATAAAAAAAAAGTAGGAAGTGGATACCATTGCTCAACTAAACACATTCCGTGCATTAAAGATACGTCTGCGCTGCAATCATCGGGTGTAACTGTAACCCCTGTGGGTATGCCTGAGCTTAAACCTAGCTAACTCAGCTACCACATCAGTGAAGCCATAGCAGAGTGGAAAATGTGTAGGGTGGTCAGCCTTTGCTAAAGCCTAAGTGTCAGTTTCACTGCTCTGGTACATGAGCTAGCTAAATTAAAGCTTGGGTATGACCACATGAGTTGCAGTCAAAGCCCATTATACCAATATAGATCTACCCTAGAACCAATATACCATTTTCCCACAAACTTAAAAAGACAAAATAAAAAGCATTAGGATGTCAGCACCATCATAAGCTAGTCAAGAACCCAGCTTTGAGTAGGGATGTTAGCAAAACAGCACTGCATTTAGCCATTTATTTGTACCTCTGGACCCCGTGCTCCATTCATCTGAAGAAGTGGGTTGTGCCCACAAAAGCTCATGAGACTATCTACATGTTTTGTTAGTCTCTAAGGTTCTGCAGGACCATTCATTGGTTTTTTCTATTATTATTATTTTCAGTTACAGACCAACATGGCTACCCCTCTGAGACATTTAATTCTGTAAATGTGTAACCGTTAAATTTTTCATTAGTTACACATTTACATGCAGGAGTAGCAGGCAGGAGCCAGTACTCGCAGGGAG